GAATCAAGCTCCGACACAGTGCTTCTGAAACAGTGTGTTGTTTTTTTCAATACATGCACTGAAGCTTCAGCTTCAAACTGCCCATCACTAATTCAACACATTATTATGGTTAGAACACATCAGTAGTACAAAAACAAACATTGGGCAATAATGGGACTACCCAGGCAGCACCAGGTACCCCACAGTTCAAAATAACTGAGACACTGATGTCAACACTGATGTCAACACTGATGTCAACACTTACCCTGTCCAGGCAGACAGTCCCGACCTGCTATAAAGAGTTTATATCCACAGGTCTTTTCCAGCACCTCAGGCAGAGTCTGCAGAGCAAACTTGTCCACGTCCTCCCTGARCTCAGTGTAGAGCTGAGGGTACGTCACATAGGCATCATACAGCTTTCCATCCAGATCTGACAGAGAAAAGAGCTCATTAAGTCTATTTAGATGTTTGTTTTACTGAAACATGCACAAAAATAATTACGTTTATTAGTGAAAACCACCTTGTGTTTGAACATATTCAGTTATCCTGCTCAGCACAGACAAACTGAACAGATCTGTTGTTTCACATCTGAGTCACTGACATCTACAGTGAATCCCCCGTAAGACATCAAAAGTCCAGATTCACACATCAGAACACAGAACTGTTCTCTCTGGACATGACTACATCTAAAAAAGATTAAATGTTTTTATGATTTAAACCAGAGGTGCCCAAAGTGGGGCATGTGGGCCAAAACTAACCCGCCAAGCCATTTGATTTGGGCCACCATCAGTTGTCCTGGTTATTAGATTGTAATTATGTTCAGATTAAATATAAAATAGAAGTAACTACAAGAGACATTTAGATTAGATTTAAGTCCATATAGATTTGCACACCTTATGAGACCCCATATTAAGTAGAGGTTTCTGCAGATGAGTGGGCGTGTCCCAACAAAAGGCGATCTAAAGCGACACACCTGATTTGACGGACTTTGTTAAAGGGACACACCTGACTGGACAAGCAAAAAAAGGGGGGGGGGCATCACCGTACAGCATCATCTGATTGGACAAGAAGAAAAGGGGCGTTACTGTACGGCACCACTTTTTCTGGAGACCCCTACTTGGGTCACATTTCTCCTGGTTAACCTTAGTGTTGGGGTCAGGGTCAGGCTGTAAGATCAAGCAGGGTCTGAGGATACCGTCATTTAGGTCTCGTAGCCCACCGTGTTTATGCTTTAGATACGCCCACTCTTGTGACACGCCCACTTTGATTCTGCAGATAACCCCTTCTCACCCATATATTCAAATTTTAAACTATGAAAAGTCCCATGAGCCTTTGCTGCCTGAGCATACGTTGAATTTTCCTCCATGCCCATGGGCTGAAAACACAAAAGAATGTGGGCAACCACACTGGCTCTTAGCTTAATCATAAAAAATAAAACAACTTTACTGAAGAAGTATTTGCATTTCTTATATTATTGCATTCGGCCCACGTCCCTCAGATTGATTTTAATTTTGACCCTCTCAGGGAAAATGTTTGGGCGCCTCTGGTTTAAACAGACATTTTTAAACTGCACAAGCTATGCACGTGTTCAGATTAGTGATGATTGGTGATCAGACGTTCTGATTGTTCTGAAAATCTTTTAACTTTGTTTTAAGTTCTTGATGTAAATGTGTTATTTGATTTTATCCATCAGCCAAAAAAGGTTTTCTTCCTTTCTTTATTTTTTTATCTAAAAGAACTGGTGGGGGGG